TCAGTGCTGCTGAGCCTAAAATTAGTTTTGTCATAGCTACCAGCTGTATTTGGATTTGCAGGCATGCATGTGTGTGTAACACAACACATGTATGTAATCCATCTACCTGCCACATTGCCTTTCTTCCTCCAGCCTTGTAAGCAAGCAGATTATTGGAACGTGTATGAACTTTGATGTCTGAAAGCTCTGGGGAGCAGATGTCTTGTATATTTCAATGCTCTGCCCTCACAAATATGCAGAGCTCTGGATTTGTGGTCCCCGTTGAGAAGTTGAAATGCTATTTCTGTTTTTCCCCTCCTTTTTGGAAGGACTGTGGACAGGAGGTGCGTGTGTGTGTGCATGTGGCTGGGTGGGCAGGCATGGAACTCTATGTTTATTCATCCTTATTATTTTTACAAACAAGAGTTGCTGAAAAAGTAAAGCAATGGGCTAATGAAGAAGAAATATCTATAATGGTGAGAGAGTTCCTCAAACTCAGTAAGTCGTTGCTGTCCTCATTGCATCCCTATTCATACCCATTGCCACAACAAACCCTAGCTTTATCAGACTAAAAGGGAAGAGCTAAGAAGACCTACAGATCTAACATCTGGACCTAGGTGCTGCTGCATGCCCCCAACACTGCAGAGGGTACTGAGCGATCCTGGACTTGGTACTGCATGTGCAGATGTCCCTTGTGTCCACCCAATTCCCCAGTAGGCGTGGATCTGTGGGGGTCAGGAGCAAGAGGACTGGGGTTTCATTACAGATTCTCCCGTCCTACACTCCTTAATATCACATCTACAATAATCTACCTATACTCACTTTTTTATTAGCATGTGAAAGAAACTTATTTAAAGCTGCTTTGCTTAGGTAAATAATAACTTCCTGCTAGAAGGTTCTTAGTTATTTACCAACACTGGAATGAAAGTATGAAAACAAACATGGGAATTAGAGGAGCCATTTTGTTTGCACAAAGGTAAGGTTTCTTTACATTATATTAATAAAGGTAAGAATATCTCCAGTCCAGCTTCGTGTCTTCTGCCTGCAAACAGATTTGTGTCAGAAACAGCAATGGCTATATTGCTATTCTAGCCATTTCCTATCAGGCTGCTGAACTGAAGATGATGGTTGTCATAAACATCTGCCGCCCGGATCCCATGGCACGTGAAGTGTGTTGCCTGCCAGGGGCCAAGATCCGGGATGTCATGACAAGGATTCCTGACCTGATCCAGCCCTCGGACTACTATCCCAGGAGCCTCATCCATGTGGGAACCAATGACGCAGCCAGGAGTAGTCCTGACCATGTCATGGGTGACTACAGGGCTCTGGGGGCCAGGCTTATAGAGACGGGGGCACAGGTGGTCTTCTCGTCCATCCTCCCGGTCAGAAGTCGCAGTAGGCGTCACAGCACCTGCATCAGAGTGGTCAACCTGCGGCTCAGGAGTTGGTACCATACTGCAGGATTTGGCTTCCTGGACCATGACCCACACTTCCTGGCAAGGGACTTCCTGGGGCGTGATGGACTTCACCTCAGCTAAAGGTAAAAGTCTTTTCTCCAACAGGTTGGCTGATCTCCTGCGTTGGGCTTTAAACTAGCTCAGACGGGGGATGGGGAGGCAGAAGAAGGAGAACATCAGGAAACTGCAATCCATGGGATGGCCAGCAGTAAAGCATAGGTAAGCAATAAGCAGGTAAGCAATAAGGGGCCCATTGGGCATCAGAGCCGGGGGGCAACAAAGGCGCCAGTCACAGGGCTCAAGTCAACCTCAGGAGTTCCAAATCTAGTTCTTCCCCTTGGTGTGGGGGTCTGTAGCAGATCCCTACCACCAAATCTCTTTCCCCTTGACCTCCATGTATCCTAACCCACAATCCTTCTACTTTCTCCTCCTCCAATTCCATTTTGATAAGGGTCGATGTATAATGTTCCTTGACATAGAGAGCAACCCCTCCCCCTCTCCTCCCCACTCTATCCTTTCTGTACAGCTTATAGCCCTGAATGTGTACCACCCAGTCATGGGTAGAGTCCCACTAGGTTTCTGCTAACCCCACTAAGTCGTAAGTGTTTTCTGCAAGCAGAAGTGCTAGTTCATCCTGCTTGTTCCCCATGCTCCTAACATTGGTGTAAATGTCCAGCACACCTACTGCCTAGGAAATGACCTGCTCGGTAGCATGGAAGCGGAAAGGGATCTTGGAGTCCTAGTGGACTCCAAGATGAACACGAGTCGTCAGTGTGATGAAATAATCAGAAAAGCTAACTGCATTTTATCATGCAACAGCAGATGCATGACAAGTAGAGCCAAGGAGGTGATACTTCCCCTCTATCGGGCGCTGGTCAGACTGCAGTTGGAATATTGCATGCAGTTTTGGGCGCCACACTTCAAGAGGGATGTGGATAACCTGGAGAGGGTCCAGAGAAGGGCCACGTGTATGGTTAAGGGCTTGCAGGCCAGTCCCTATGAGGAGAGACTAGGGCACCTGGACCTCTTCAGCCTCCGCAAGAGAAGGTTGAGAGGGGACCTTGTGGCTGCCTATAAATTCATCCGGTGGGCACAGAAGGGAATTGGTGAGGCTCTATTCACCAAGGCATCCCTGGGGGTCACAAGAAATAATGGCCATAAGCTAGCAGAGAGCAGATTTAGACTGGACATTAGGAGGAACTTCTTCACAGTTAGAGTGGCCAAAATCTGGAATGGGCTCCCAAGGGAGGTGGTGCTCTCCCCTACCCTGGGGGTCTTCAAGAGGAGGTTAGATGGGCATCTGGCTGGGGTCATCTGAACCCAGCACTCTTCTGCCTATGCAGAGGGTCGGACTCGATCTATTGAGGTCCCTTCCAACCCTAACATCTATGAATCTATGCATCTATAAACTAGACAAATGGATGCTGCAGTTACCACTTGGCTTCTGACAGTGTCTAGCTGCAGAGCACAATGGTTCTCATGCTGTCACCTGCTCAGACTAGCATTTGTATTGCTGTGCATGGAAGAGATCCATGTCTCATGGATTCCTCCCCTCTAGCTATACAAAAACACTACATTGGTATTATGAGGCCTTTTTGAGTGATTTATACCAGCTGATGGAAAGAAGGCAACACAGTATGGAAGGAGAGTTATGGAAATGCACAACACAGTGTTTGCATTCTGTTTGAGAGATAGCTAAAACTTTCCAGGCAGAAAATGCCATTTTGGCTAAATTGAAACTTCTTTAGAAATGTGACAATTTCAATGACATTTTTATTGTAGAAACAGATTGAAAGAAGTAGTTCAATTTGTCATTCCAAATTGACTTTTCATTTAGAAATGTATGTTCTTTATAAATAATAAAGTAAAATGTAAAAGATTTGAAATGGGAATAAAGCATTTCAAGTTTATCAAAATGTTTAATTTAATTTCCTGGGAAGTTCTGAAATGCATAGATTTATTTTTCCCATTTCAGAACAAGGGAAAATTTTGAAATGATAGAATTTCCTTACAGAAATGCCATTGTGAATTTCAACCCACTTATTCTGTTCCCATCTCTGTGACTTTGGGCAAAGTTCTCTTCACTGTGCCTCATATTCCTAGTCCACACAGGAAGGATAGGTCTAATGATCTCCATAGGAACAGAAGATTGGAAAGGACCTCCTAGGCTTTTGAGTCTTGTCTACTTTCTCAGGTACTCATTAACTGAAGGAATCCGTGAAATCACCATTTCAAACCCTCAAAAACAGCCATTGCCTCTCAGAGAGATTATTCACTCATTGTTATCATCTGCACAGCATAATGAGATGTTCAGCAAGAAGTTGCTATAGACAGGCAAAGTGTTGCTATTAACCTCAGTGTCATTCTAGAGAGACCCCGTGGTGTCTCATGAAGTACTGAAGTCTTCCATTCTTCCTACAATTACCCATATTTCCTCATATGCGACATAGAACTCTAGTGAACAAGCAGGACAAGAAACTGTCGCTTTTGTTTATTCTACTCAGCTCTGCCACACTTGGCAGTCTCCTCAGAGACTCATATCAAGCTAGCTAACCCTTCCAGCTGATGTGGGCCAGTCCTGTTCCATTTCCACAGCATGAGAAAGAGCACTCACTTTCCAGCCTCCAAAAGCACAGTACTACCAGCACCTGCCAATCCAGAAGCAGCAAGCCAGACTCAAGCAAATAATACATTTCCCTTAAAAAAAGGTCTTTAGGTTACAAGACTGTATCAGTGTATAAATATGCCGAAGACACCAGCTGACCCAAACCTTGGATAAAGCCAGCAGGAAAGGAGAACTCAGGTCTTGATCTCAGCAGGTAATTAATGTCATCAATGTCATCAAAATGCAAGATACAAAAGGATGTTTCAATACAGAGGGTACCACATCAGACGGAGCACAGGGGCCAGGTAGACTAGAAAGGCAAGCAGTGCCTATCATGATACTACTTTGTGATGTGGGAACTTGGTTAGGAGACATTCTTTGCATCTCTTAAATGTGTACCTCTTGAAATACTTCCTGAGCACATTAGGGGCAACACAGTCGTCCATTTCCTCAACAAACCACATAGAAGCTCTTGGTCCTGGACTTCTGGCAGCCTGTCTGAAATATATCCGTCTCTTAGTGTGGAAGAAACCCTAGAATCTCAGAATGGGATCAGTGATCAGATTGTCCATTATCAGCCATCACAGTCAGAAATACTGTTAGAACAGCCTTCTAGTTTATGGTTGGGAAAATATTCTGTACCAGTTTGATCTGAGATTTGGTCCAATCTGGTTATTATTGTGTCTGTAATGATTAGCCCAGCTGCAAGCTTTTACCCACTCTATGATTTTACCTTCCCTTTATAGGACGGAATGAAAATGCTGTGAAACATAACATCTGATGTACTGTATCTGTGAAACACATTTACAAGAAAAGATCAAATGGGGAAAAACTGAGTAACATTTTCATTCAATGAAAACCATATCAGAAATGATTCCTGACAAACAGTGCAGCTTATTGTCTGTTCTCATTTATAAACTTCTCCACACCAGCCATCTGATATCCATTGTTACAATTACAGACATCCCATAGTAACTCTCCAGCTGGTCAGCTCCGTCCTAACAGAACTGCAGCCGTTCAAGGATGCCATATGGTACAAGAGTTTCCAAAGCGGGATTGTCAATCAGCCTTATTAATTTCTGAGTTCATACTTTTCCTTATAGGGATATTTTTATATAAGACAGAGACACTACTCTGGCCTTAATTTGGAATATGTGAGTTGACAGAATGATTGAAACATCTAAAGCTATGAAACACACAACAGAAAGATGAAGGGCCTGAGTTCTAGAGATCAGCGTCCTACACAATGATGCATAAGCAGGCATACAGGTGTCTATTACTGTATGTATGACAGCATCCCATAAGAATATTAAAAGCCCAATAGACCTGGAGCACTGGACATTAAGACCAGATGGGAAATTGATAATGGACATTTTCCTTCACTGCATGTCGCATTTGGGTTAAGTTAATTTTTTACAAACATTCTTGGGAAACCTGGGACAACATTATTAGAGGTGGAGTTATAGATTTATCCAAATGTGCAAGTAGTTAGCTCTGAGGAAATACTAATTGTTAGCTGTACTGCACTTCCTTTTAGATATTCAATTTAACATAGTAAAATTATTTTTTTTTAATCCTTTTCTCATGGGCTCTATCATTTTACATTTTTTCCCTCAGTCTGTTTACACACATACAAACCAGAAGCACATGTTTTGCACCAAGATAAGATGAAGCTTGAACTGCTATGATTTTGGGGGTAAGATATGCTCCAGAAACTTCCAGAGTAAATCACACAGGCAAAAACTCTACTGTGTACTAGTGTAGTGTGCCTACATTATGTTTACACCTGTGTTAGTGTATCAGAGTTACATGGATGCACATTTCTTGAGTCTAGAAAAGTTCTTAATAAAACCTACTCTTAGGTGCAGTTACTGCCTACATGCTATCCTAAAGCCAGCAAATAAATCAGTGTGAATAAAAGCATGGCATCTTCTTCACTAATATCCTCCTTCTTTTGGCATGGATTAAGTTTTCTTTTGCTTGAGTACTTTTGCATTAGTCTAAAATGCAAACAAATCAATCGGCAATTAAGAAGAAATGCTTTTCTTTGCCTACTTTGGTACCTGAGGTAGAGGAATATTTTCCTTCTAAACTGGTGATAAGAGACAACTGCTTAGGATTAAAACTTGCCTATGCATTTCCTTCCTCTGGTTGGTTCTACCAGTCAGGGGAAATTCAATACAGGAAGATGTAAGGAAGGGAGTGTATATATATAAGGTTCCTTTCTTTCCAGGCCTAAGAGTATTCTCAGTGCACAAACAAGCAGGCTGAGTTTTGATACATGGCAGGTTTAGTTTATTCCGCTTTCTTACAACACAGGACCAGGGAGATCACTTGACCCAAGGTGTGATTTCACTTAGAAAGATAACACTGTAAAAATGGCATTGTGGGTTTCCATAATCAGTGAAATAGGTTCAGTGCTGTAACAGGCAGAATAGATCAAAACTAGAAAAAACAAAGAGCATGTAGATTTCAAAATGACTAGTAATTTGTGTTTTGTTGAGCTTCAGAAGGATTCTTTTTTCGTATTTTTCAGAATTTTAAACAGTCTCTTTGTCAGTGCATGAAAGGAACTAACTCTTGAGTAGGATGTAATGAGGAAGACCTTTCTTTATGGCCAGTTTGAGAGTTAGCCATCAATGTATTTCTAAACCTGTCTAGATTATTTATATTTATTATGAAAAACTTCTTTGTCAGATCTCTCAGTTGAGTGCGACAGCCCAGGACAGAACAGATGAATACTGGAGGTAGATGCACTACTGATGGCATCAACAGGAGAGATTTGGCTTCCTTGACCACGAAGCTGTATTCCAAGTAGGAGGAAGAAATAGGGTCCATCTAATGAAGAAGAAAAGCATCCTAGCACAACAACTCCTAGCACAAGCCCTCCATGAAGAGGGCTTTAAACTAGGTGAGAAGAACATTCTGGTGAGTAAAAAGTGTTGGTTGAAGGGATGATATCTCATGTGGGGAAATGTAATAGGCAAGGATTTTTGTGTGTGATACCTTTTATTAGGCCAACTGCCTGGATGGGATAGACTAAGTCTCTTGAATATTTCCTGGACCATCACGATTACTTCACTTCAACACTACCAAAATGAGGGGAGAAATGGAAATGTACACTAGCTAAACGGGAGAGACAAAAAGGGAGTGTAATGGGACAACCAGCTAAACATCCGAGATGTCTATATACGAGTGCCGGGAAGAAAGTTTTACCACAAAATGGGCGCATCTACACATGTCCCTACAGCACCTTGGTTACTGCACTGTGTATTTGGTGGAACGGGATATTGATATAGTAGTGGAATATAAGTTGTTTAGGGGCAGACAAGGAGAAAAGGAGGAGGTATTGCATTTCATAGACAGAATATAGATACTTTCCCTGAAGTTGTGGAAGAGGTGAGAAGCAAACTTGTTGAAAGTCTCTGGGTGAAAAGAAAATGGGGAAAAAGAGATATAATGTTATGGTAGTGGTATAATATAGACCATCAAACCAGCTGGAAGAGATGGATGACGGGTTTTTTTTTTGAGCAACTAAGAACATGCTGCAGCCTGAGGCACTCTCAAGACTGCAGCCTAAAACAAAGCTCTGGTCCCTTTCAAACCCAGAACTGCCACCACTCTCAAGCATACAAGATGCTGAGCTCTCCAGTGCAGCAGTCCCTGCAACATCCCTGAGCATTCTCAGTGGGAGCATTCTCAGTGTCTCAGCCCTGAGTTTACAGTGTGAGAGCAGGTGAAAAGGGCTTTGTTTCTGGGAGCAATCTTGAAAGTGGCTTAGTGACAGTGTGGACATGCCCTAGCAGACATCCAGTAGACAGTAACAACTGGTAATGTGGTTGTTCAATCGAGTGAGTATCCTCTGGAAAAACAATATGGCAGGAAACATGACAGTCTACCAACTTCTTGGAATATGTTAGAAATAGTTGATGTCCAAAGGTAGAATAAATCAATATAGGAGGTAAATATTTTAGATTTGATTCTGACTAATAAGGGGGAACTGATTGAAAAATGAAGGTGAAAGGTAATATGGATAAAAATGATCACAAAACAGGAGAGCTCCATATTCTAAGGAAAATAGGGGCTGAGAGCAGAATATTTTTTTTAAAAGGACTTAGGAAGATGATTTTAACAAGTGGTCTCTTGGGAAAATATTCTAAGGACCCAAAGAGTTCAGGAGATGAGGCAGTTACTAAAAGAGACTTTATTAATAGCACAATGACAAGCTATTCCTGCTTCCAATGGGGGCAGAAACTATTCCACTGTTGTTTATCCAATGGTGTCTTTACATGCAAGGCATAGAAAATCCATTAGGGTTAGGGGCCAAAGCCCAGGGCTCCATCCTCCCAGGACAAGATCCATCTCACTGGGTGCATCTACATGTGAAATTAAGGCAAAGCAATAGAGTCTGGAGCTGTTTGAGCCAGAGTAAGCTGCTCCTGGGCACAGCGTCTGCATGTGCACCTGGGACAACAGCAATTTGAGCTGGGGCAGACCAGGCCTGGGATGGCAGGGGATACAGGGGGTCTGCCCTGGGCTCCAGGTGGCAGCATCAGGCAGCAGAAGGGCTGGCTGGGGCATGAGGGTGCAGAATCTGTGGAGCCATGTGGCTAGACAGCACTCAGGAGTCTGGCCCCTGCCCAGTCACTGTCTACACATGCATTTCAGTGCAGTTAATTACTCTGTTGTATGATACTACTGTCCCCAAGTTATGGCAGAGTTAATTAGTTTACTGCACCCTAATATGGGTACATGTGTAGATGGTGATGCTTTACTGTAGAGCAAATTAGTCTACTCTGCAGTAAAGTGCATGTTTAGATGCACCCACTGCCCACATCCAGATGAGCGTGGCCCTGCAGTATAGACAGGAGCCAGGGGCAGTGGGGTAGGCTTGAGAAGCCCGCCCACCCCCAGCCAGTTCCCTGCTTTCCTGCCCCTACCCTGCTCCAGCACCACCTGGCTGTGGCTCCCAGCTGCATCACTGAACCACAAAGCACGGGACCGCACTGGTAGCAGGAGGGAGGGAATGTGAGAGAGAGAGAGAGAGAGAGAGTGTGTGTGTGTGTGTGCGCGCGCGCATGCGCACAGGTCTGCAGGCACAGGGTAGAGTGTGTGTGTGCCTGCAGGCACAGAGCAGAGTGTGTGCATGTCTGCAGGCACAGGGGCAGAGTGTGTGTGTGTGTTCATAGGGTGAGTCCCACACACACACCCCACCCTACGCATGCACCCACACCCCCTTGCACTGCATATACAAACCCCAGCCACCCTTCCCCCATACCCGCCCACACCTCACATATCCACACACACACCCATAGCTCCCACAAACCCATACTCACCCCCCACAACATACAAGAGTAAGACTTCATTTTAATCTATTGTGCAGTCACCTCTGTGTACACTATATAAACACATGTAAATCAGGACAAAAATATTTTTTGAAATCATGAATGTTGTAGATGTTTGGTTTTTAGAATATAATTTGGTATTTTTCTGGTTCTGAGATGGCAAAACCCATTGCTGAAAGGAGTACTTCTGGAGGCAAGGTGAGGGACTTCTGGTGGCAAAGGTCAAGGGTTAGGGGGCGGGACTTCCAGTCACAAGATGGTGATCAGGGAGTGGGGCACCTGTCAAGGGGTGGAGCTACCCATGTGGCCCTTGACAGCTTACCAAAACTCGGTAAGCAGCCCTCTGCCTGAAATAATTGCCCGCCCCTGGTATACAGTATAATATTAGTAATATTAGGTGTGCAAACATAATTCGCAGATTTAAAGAAAAGGAATTCATAATGTTAAACCATTCTGACCTGTTGGGGTCTTTCTGTAGTGGCATGAAGGAATTCATGAATTTACTTGACCCTGTAACATTCAATTTCCCATGTGCTTGCCAGGTCCTTATGTCTGCTGCCAATCTGAGCTTTTCAAACACTGGGTTTGTCTACATGTGCTGTTAATGATCAGCAATAAACTCTGGCGCGATTGTCTTACTTCATTGGAGTTCATTTGCTTCTGGATGCTATGTCTTCATGTCCGCACAGGACCACAGCATGTTGAGTGGGGTAAGAGCAGCCCTGACTGACAGGGAGCCTGGAGGGTCAGCCTGCCAGTGCAGGGCTACTCTGCCCCAGTTCAGTATACTGTGGAGGAGCTGGCTGGGGCATGAGTGTGCTTCAGTGCAGAACTAGCCAGCAGGCAACCCCCGCACTAAAGCACCCTGGTGCCCCAGCCAGTCCTGACAGTGTCTACGTGTGCATTGTTGCACAACAAAGAACTCCACCACAGGATAGTACTTGTGGTCGCTTATCCACATACTGCTTTTCCTGTTTCCACGTGACAAAAATCGTCATTTCACTAGTTTAATCGTGTCTGACAATCTATGTTTTCACCTTGTTTTTTTGTGTTAGTCATTTTGTATAGTGGTAAATTAAACCACCTCAACATGTTTTATTTTTAGCATGGTAATTTGTGCCAAGAGGATTATTTTTATCGTATTATGTTTTCAATGTGTATCTGACAGACGGGCAAAAATGGCATTTTCTGTCTTGCAATGATATCACCAGGGGGTGCCACTTGGGTTCACTCAGAAATCCATAGAATTTCTGTTGCAATGTGGCTACAAGACACCAGGTGCAATTCTTGCAAATTTTTACTGGTCATTTAGTTCAAGTTTAAGGTTAATTAAAAATACTATTTTTTCTACTCCAAAACAATTGTTCCTGGTATTCATATGCCCTTCCAAAAGCTGGCAATGACCATTTTCCCAGTTGCTGCTTCTCAGAGCTAGAAAGCCACTCCCAGATGCCCAGTTTTTCTCCTGCTCCTCACATGCCCTGCTTCCCTGTACCACCCTCCAAAGGGTGACTGACCCCACACATCTGGGGTGGGCTGGCTGGCCCTGCCATGAATTTTGGAGCTCTCCTCTTCCCTCACATCACACCCCCGGGGACAGGCAATGCCCATTTTTCCAATTGCCACTGCTCAAAGCTGGAAAGTCTCTCCTAGCACCCCAACTTTCCCCCTGCTTCTCGTATGCTCTGCTTCTCTGCCCCGACACAAAGCATGGATGACCCCACACCCCTGCAGTGCATGTGTTCTTTTACACCACAGCCAGGCCATGCATGCCTACAGTACTGGGGAGGGCTGTATTTCTCCCATTCTTCTCATTTATTTATTTTGAGCAAGCACACAAAAAACTGTCTTGTACAGAGAAAAAAATGTTAATAACATAATTTTATTTATGAACCATAAATCAATACTTCAATCAATGAAAATGACAAATGAAGAAAGAAAGAAAAACTTCTGTTTTGACTTTTTATAAAGGTTTATTAAGGGGGAAAGGGGGTAACAACTCAACAAAGTAATAAAACACTGCCTATGCAGAGGCCCAGGTACAACACCACCACCTTGGGGGGAGGTGGGTAGTGGAGTCCCCCAGGGCTCGGTCCTGGGGCCTGCACTGTTCAATTTCTTCATCAGCGATCTTGATGTTGGGGTGGAAAGCAACCTGTTTAAATTCGCTGATGACACCAAAATTTGGGGGGAGGTGAGCACGCTAGCAGGGAGAGAGAGATTGCAGAAGGATCTGGATAGGTTACAGGGGTGGGCAGAGAGGAACAGGATGCGTTTCAATACGGACAAGTGCAGGGTGCTGCACTTGGGTAGTAGGAACCAGCAGCACACTTATACAATGGGGAACTCCCTACTTGAGAGCACGGAGGCGGAAAGGGATCTTGGTGTCATTATTGACTCCAAGATGAACATGGGCCGACAATGCGAGGTCATGGTTGGCAGGGCTAACCGGACCTTGTCGTGCATCCACAGGTGCATCTCGAGTAGAGCCAGGGAGGTGATCCTCCCCCTCTATGCGACGCTGGTCAGGCCGCAGCTGGAGTATTGTGTCCAGTTCTGTGCGCCCCATTTCAGGAGGGATGT